GCGGGGGGGCGGGCGGGGCCTGCCGTGGTTTGGGGACTCCTGTCACCCGGGGCCCTCCCTTTGCAGCGCTGCCACCTCAGCAAGGCCATCACTGCTTCTTCCTGTATTTCACAGCAACATCTTTCTCCCCAGCCCCAGAGCTGCAGAGTTTTGGAGGGCCAGGCGTGGGGGAAGGCAGAGGATGGGGGCTTTGGGGTTTGGTTTCTGAGAACACGGAGTGTAGTGAATCCCCACAGTTCCTAAACTCCTGGGTGTGCTGCTTCTCCCTGGACCTGGAGCCCAGCCCTGATTTCCAGCCCGTATTTCTGCTTGTCCCTGGAGCCACATCCCGCGTGTGCGGGGAGGGGACCGGGCTGCACGGGGTGTTCGTGTCTCCCCGGTTCGGCTCTCCCAGCCTCACAGCTGCTCTTCTTGCCCCCCTGCAGTGGCCGCGTGGCGAAGGAGGTGATGGAATCCAGCGCCAAGATCAAGCGGGAGCCCCCCGAGATTCACCGGTGAGAGCCCGGCAGCCCCGGCAGCGCGGGGCTCGTTACCGCGGCGGTGCAGAGAAGCAGGTGCCGCGGCTGTGGCTCTGACACTGTCCCTGTTCGTGTCCCCAGGGCAGGGCTGGTGCCGAGCAGGAGCTGCCCCTCCATCACCCACGGCCCCCGCCTGAGCAGCGTGCCCCGCCCCCGCAGGAGAGCCGTGCACAGCTCCATCATGGAAGGTACCGAGCTGGGGCAGCACCGCGGGCCCTCCCGCACGCCCCACATCCAGCTGAGTTTTGTAGCCACTGGTGCTGATGTGGGGAACGCTGGGGCAGGTCCCTGATGTGTCCCCAGGGCCTTAGGGCAAGGCTTGGCAGCACAAACCCTGCTCTTGTGGCGAGTTCGGTGTCACAGTTTGGTGTCAGTAGCTGAGTGCAGGCAAGGGAAGGGCTGGCAGTGGGGTGGAAGTCCCTGGTGCAGAAGAAAAGCTGAGCAATCCAGCAATGGTAATTTAGATTAAATTAGAAATAAGAGCAAATGGGGCTGCAGCTGGGGGGGGGGCCATGTGGGGGTGGGATGCAGCTGGGAAGGAGGATTGGCACAGGGCAAAATGTGGGACCTGGATGGGCAGGGACAGGGTGCAGAGATGCTTCCTGTTCAAAGGGACACGCCCTTTGGAGCAGGAAAGGGATTTATTTCCATGGAGGGAGCCCAAGGCTGATGTCTGTGCTGAGTTTTGGGGCAGGAGTTTGCCTGGCAGCTGTGGCAGTCCTGCAGACAGGGTCACCTCTGCTGCCCTGGTAAATGTGAGCACTGGCTCCTCCACCTCCCCCATGTGCCTTTAAGAGCACATTAAACAGACTCCCACAATAAATTACCCTGCGCTGGCACG